AAGTGTTACCAAACGCTACCTAAATATTACCAAACGGCACCTAAACAAATATTTTATTTTTATTTTTACTAAAATTAAACATAAACATAAACATAAACATATTTCATATCAACTGTAAACGTTATCAAAACAGCATCTAACTATTTGAATGAGTCATGAATGTGATGGGGTCGGTAACCTGTCTGACTGCCCAGAAATCCACTAAACAAAAAGCAGACACGTATGCATTGCACCACCATTTAACGGATAAATAATGGAGTGATTGAGTTGAGTATAACGCCGTTGGAGGGTGGTGACGGAAAACGATTGTGGAAAGTGGTGGCAGATGGTGGTGGCGGAAAATAATAGTGGAAAGTGGTGGCAGGTGACAGGTGGTGGCAGCGGAAGACGGTGGTGGAAAGTGGTGGCAGGTGGCGGGTGGTGGCGGTGAAAGACGGTAGTGGAAAGTGATAGCAGTGGTGGCAGCGGAAAAAGGTGGTGGAAAGTGGTGGCGGGTGGTAGTGGTAGAAGATGGTGGTAGCGGCAGAAGACGGTAGTGGCGAGTGGGTGGTGGTGGTAGTGGTGGCGGGTGGTGGCGGCAGATGGGTGGCGGGTGGTGAGGGGTGGTGGGGGGTGGGTGGTGGTGACGGAAGACGGTGGTGGAAAATGGTGACAGGTAATGGCTAGTGTTGGGTGGTAAAAACAACTGAAAACTTAATATGGAAACACATTTTTTGTGTTTTCATTTTTTGGGCAAATTTATAAACTGAAACCACTGATTTATAAATCAAAAATTTTACCAAACAAATTTTTATTTGAGTTTTCTAAATTTTTGTAAATATAAACAGAAAATTGAAAACATAAGTGTTACCAAACGGTATCTTAGTAATTATTTCGTTTTCAATTTTCAATTTATATTTACAAAAATTTTAAAAACTGTCATAAAAACTTGTTTGATAATTTTTTTGGGTTTATATATGGTTGTTTTAGTTTATAAATTTGAGAAAAAAGCGTAAACTCAAAAAATGAGTTTACATTGGTTTTTAAATAAAAATTTAAAAATTTGACTAACAAAAGGAGAATAAATAAATTTTCAAGTTGGTTTTTAAACAAACTCATACTCAATGCGACTTGAGTTTTTACTTTCTTGACACCAAAATAAATTTTCAAGGAAAAATAAATCCAAGTCAGCAAGAAAAACAGATTTTATATTTTTAAATTTTTTTAAATATTTTATTCAAACTAAACGTGTTTGTAGTTTATGTTTTTCTAAAAATAAACAAAAATTATTTTATAAATTTGTTGTAAACATAAATAAAAAATGTAAACGTTACCAAATGTCACCATAGCTATCCATATCCGATCAATATGATTGTTTACAAACATATGATACTTGACAAATATTATATATTGAACAATTTGTATTATCAAAACATGATCCGTAATGAGCCCTTATGAGCCTCATAATACCAATCACTAGAGGGAAGCCAGACCCATAAATAAATATTTTGGTTGGTTTGAAAAGTGGTATGAAAATGAGTCATTCCTACGTACATCTCACAACACATCAATTAAATCACAATCATTCATTTTGGTTATAAGGATTTGTTTTGAAATTTATTTATTTAGTGATTTTTTAACTTTTCTATGAAAAAAAAAATATATATATATATATATATAAGTAAAAAAAATGATATAATAACTTATAACAAATAAATAAATAAATTGCTTATTTAAATTGTTTGCAAATTACCCTAAAAAAAATTCATGACACAAAATCTAAGTTCACCCTTTTCCAAACTTTAATTTTTTATTTTTAATTTTTTTTTTATGGGTTTTCCAAACTTTAATTGAGTTGGAAAAACCCAAATATTAGTAAATGGGCCTCTTGATTTTCTGACTCTATGGTCACAAAGGGCTGATAAATTTGTGAGAATAGATCATGGGCCATGATGATGATATACTTTTGACCCAATGCCTAAAATAGCCCCCACGTGGATCAAAATAAGAAAAGATAAAGACAATAGCTGTTTAGACATACTATTCGCCGAAAATCAAACACGCTTCGGTACAGTATTAGTCAGGTGTGTGGTGTGGGACACACTGACGTACGTATCTTCAATTTCAGGTAATTATTCCCTACAACTATTTGATTATTAGAGCATCTCCAACGGTGCATTTTTTTTTCATCAAATCTGAGTAAAAAATGACTTATTTTACCAAATTTAATATCACTCGCTCCAACGGTGAACTTTCATCAAATTTGCGCCGGGACAACCGGTTGGTCGACCGGTTAGGCGATTTTTTTTTTTTTTTTTTTGAACTTTTTAAACCTTTTAGTGGTCGACCGGTAAGGCAAAAATTTTTTTTTTTTTTACTGTTTGAACCTTTTCTTAGAACTGTTTGAACCTTTTGGTGGTCGACCGGTTGGTCAACCGGCCGGGCAACCAGTTGGTCTCCCCTAACGGTCACAAACAGTGTTTTGATAAAATTAGTATTCTGTCATCAGTTTGATGAATTGTTTGGTGAAATCTCATTTTGATATCGATTTGGTGCAACCATTGGAACACCAAACAGTAACTTTTTCACCAAATTTTAAATTTGATGTCAACTTTGATGAACCGTTGGAAATGGTCTTAGATGGGTGATTCAACCATCAGTTATTAGGGTTAGGGATGACAAATTGAACCCGGCCCGACGAGGATTCGATCCTCCGACCCCAAATTAAGTGATTTTTTTTCGAAAAATACCCCCGACAAGCCAGGGATGGTATTCAAAAATAAATTCCCGACGATATTCGGGCTGGGGACAGGAATATATTTTCCAACCCATGCCCAGCCCCAGTTCCAACCTCGCCCCATTTTGACCCCGATCCTTTATATATATATATATATATATATGTGTGTGATATATCTGTGTGCTCAGTGTTTAGTGTTTGGTTGATTAACAACATATGGCCTACCTCTCTCTCTCTCACTCACACAAACACAAGACCCAAGCCCCCCCTCTCTCTCTCTCTCTCTCTCTCTCTCACGCACGACCGTCGACCGCCTCCCTCATAGCTGCGCCTCCTTCACCAACACCTCCCTCACTGCCGCTCCTCCCTCACCGACGCCTCCGTCACCGCCGATTTTTAAAGGATCATCTCTCTCTCTTTCTTCCCCTCATGGTTTGGTCGGCGCGCGGCTCCTCCTCTCTTTCTCACCGGCCTTCTCCCTCACGGCATCACGATGGCAACTCTTCATTCTCTCTTTCACTAGCGACGACTCTTCCTCTCCTTCTCACGGTATCCCTTCATCTCTCTTTCACGGTATCTCATTCTCTATAGTTTCTCACTCTCTCTCTTTGTTTTTTGCTTTTTTTCTTCAGATTTGGAAAATGATGAAGATGAAGATGTTGTTGATGAAGATCTGTTGTTGATGAAAATGATGATTTTTTTGATTTGTTAGGTCTGTTAGAGCTTAGAATTTGTTTAATTTGTTAGATGTTTTTTGAGCTTAGATCTGTTGAAAATGTTGTTGTTGTTGATGATGTTGATGAATTCTGTATTTTCTAGAACTGTTTTTTTTTTTTTGGCTGGAAATTTTCGGGGTCGGGAAAACCCGATCCCCGTTTGGGGGCAGGGCCGGGGGTGATAATAGGTTCTCCGTCGGGGATCGGGACCGGGGGAATTTTCACCATCAGGAATCAGGGACGGGGAGTGTGATCCCCAGCCCAGGCCGTTGCCATTCCTAATTAGGGTATTGTTTTCATCATATTCAATTCATTTTGGGTCCTTGTATTTTTATTTTTTTATGTAAAAAAAAAAATGAAAACATAGCATTTTTTTCATCATTTTTACGTTTTTATGATCTCAATTTTTTGACAAAGTCAAAAAAATGTAATACAAAATTTTGAAAATACAAATGGGAAACAATTTTAATAATACAATAAAAAATAAAAATAAAAACCTAGATTTTATGTAATCTATAGTGATAGTTACTAAGGTGCCGTTTGGTAACACTTACGTTTTTAATTTTTTGTTTATATTTACAAAAATTTTAAAAACTCAAATAAAAACTTGTTTGATAAATTTTTGATTTATAAATCAGTGGTTTCAGTTTCTAATTTGGCCAAAAAATGTAAATTCAAAAAATGTGTTTCCGTTTTTAGTTTTTAGTTTTTTTTTTTT